TGGTCAACCCTAGTTAGATATTGGAAAGCATAATAGAGGCATAAAATGGTATAATAAATTATTTTACCTAAGAGTTATATGTCGATTTTGTAATATAGTTCAGAAGGGTATATGTTGAAAGCAATACATTAGGCCAGGTGAATTAGAAAATCGATAATGCATAGATTGATCATGTTATGTACTTTGTGAAGGGGTTGGAAACCAGTGAATCAAATGGTTCAAAATCAGCATAATGAGATACAAAATATCATTTGGTTTCATATCATAGTATTATAACATAATTTCAAAGACATTATTTTTGTTCATAGTTGTTAGACAATATATCTCGAGCAGGATTAAACTTTATTTACCACGAAGTTATGTTGGCATAGAAAACAAGTCTAAATAACTTCAAGTGTGGTTGTACAGTTAAAAGAACATATGGTATTTCCCGTGATTATTTAATTTTGGAGAAGATGAAATTCGATAAACCCATACATATGGATGAGGTTCACATACACTAGAAAGGCTTCAATTTAATAATGATGGTGTGATCAAGGAAGATAAACCATATATATCTATTATGACAAAGTGGGTGGCGATTCAAGAGAGGTTTTTGAAAGTTGATTATAACATGAAGTTGCACGTCAAAGAGTAGTTGTGGAAGCTAACATATAAAAAAAACCATGGATATAAAATCACCCATAGAACCAGTAAAATCTAAGAGTGCTTCTAAGAAGGTCAAACCAATACCAAGTGACAATTCAACAAAGTGGTCTTCGTCCTATTTCAAACATGTTTACTCACTTTATGTGGATTCTTCAACTTCATAATCCAAAACAAGTTTTATTAAAGGTGCTCGCATCAACAAACCATCGACTTCACCACCTTTACCAAAAATGATACACATTAAAAATATATTTGTTTTTATGCACATGCATATTGACCAGATTGTAGATGTCAAAGGTGATGGTAATTGCGATTATGTAGGTGTTTCAAATTTGTTATGCAATGGACATGAGAATAATACATTTGTCACTAACATATTATCCAGGAGTTGAAGTCACATTACGAATCATGCACAAGGTTATACAAGAAAAAGAACAATAATATGAAATTCATGATACTCTTATTCCTTGAATTAGTAGTGCAACACATGAGACAAAACATATTTATTTTTCTTAAATGGGTCATCTTATAGCACGCGCATATAATCGATTATATATCAATCTGACAATATATGATTTCTCAGAAACATTTTTCTCACTACGAAGTGACCCATCTCAAAATCTAGTCAGACGCATTATGTGTATTGAATGGCTTTCAAAATTACAATATTTTGTTTAAGTTTATTTGAAACTAGGATGTCTTATATCATGAACATCCCTCTAATTGACATCTCATTTCACAAAAGAAGCTGAAACTTGGTCAAAAAATTTTTTGGATAGGATGGAAGAGTTTTTCAAGTTGAGCGATATTGAAAATTAATCATATTAAGTTAGTTATTTTCATGGATGTAAGAATACATTTTTGTGTGTTTTAATTTATATTTCACATTACTTGTATAAATATTATAAATATTAAAATTAACGTTTTTTTGTATGTCATAAAATAAGTATTGTCAGTTGGTCTGGTGTGAATCCATATTTCAATCTTCGGACAAATCCTATATTTTGTATTTATGTGATGCTAACACGGGATAATCTATTAACAATATCTGAAGAAATTCCACGTGTATTCTTCATACATGATAAGAATGGGGTGAATATTGATTTAAATATTCAAATCAACCCCTGAGACAAGATTGCATTCTAAAATGAATTAATATTAGTATATTACATTTGTTTACTTTAACGACATGAGAGCTTATTTTGAATTTAGAGTTATAGAGAACACTTCTCTTATAGATTTAAAATTCAAAATAGAGAATGTCTTACACTACACCGACAATCGAAGAGTGTTTAAGATTGAGTATCATTCATGAACAATTGATAATTAATAAAAGTTTAAATTCAGTAAGTTTGAGTTGAACCATCTGCTTGTGAAAGATTATTTGTATTTGGTGTTGTTAGGAAGCGTTTGGATTCCAATTTTTATATTCTCGGAATATTTTTGAAATTTTATCAAGGTAAATGAATAATGAATTGGGTGCAATGTATAATTCTCTCAAAAACAAATGGTGAATGGTGGTGGATGCTTAGAGAAACCCAACATTGGATGAGAAGGTTTTGTACTTCATTAGAGGCTTTTGATACATTGGGTTTTGCATACAAGGGGAAATGATATATGGTGGTTGTAATTTGTTAATGCATAATAAATAGTTTATTTGTTTTAAATATGATATATGATATATTGTTTTTTATTTTGATATTTTTTCATTTTATAATGAATGTCACTTATATATATTCAAATAATTGCTATTTTCAGTTTTTAATGTAACAAATTTGTTTTAAATAATTGCTATTTTCAGTTTTTAATGTAACAAATTTATTTATTTTTAAATTATTCACATTATTACTTTCATGGTCTAAAACTAATGTGAAACACTCACTTAATGTGGATGTTCTAAAACCTTATATAACTTTCATTTTAAATTAGAGGAAGTAGTTTTTTTTTTCTCAAAGTATTTTAATAATTAGAGTTTCATTTGTTTTACTTGTCAAACTTTATTTTTTTATTTTTTCTTTAATTTGCATTATGAAGAAAATGTCAACAAGAAATAGTCATATTAGATTGAGGGCAAGTATTATGAACTTACATATCTCATAACTCAAGATTGAAATTTACATAACTCCGAATTTAATTATGAGAGATATTTTATGAACCTCTATTCAATTACAATTTAAATGTAAAATTTTTTAGATCTTTTGTGACAATCCAACTTGTACATGCTCAAAGACGATTCTATTAAATATACTTTACTACTAATTAGTAGTAATTTGAACCGTATGTATTTGTAGTGCCAGACATCTTATCGGTGCACCAATAGAAATATTAATGTGTCGGGTGTAGATTCAAACATGCGGCATTTTCTCTACCCGTGATGTATGTGAGAATTTCAAAAATGCACTGTGTTTGAAATGTTCAGAAAAATCATATTCATCATTTTTTAAGCGATGTTAAAAATGATCGATAACATATCAAACACTGTCAAGATAATGAATGACATTGTAATCTCACACATAATGACAACAAAATATGTACACCAAGGAAACTAGGGCAGGATTGCAGTGCAAAGGTAAGGAAGGTGGGTAGGTTTTGTATAGACTTCCAATCATCAACAATCTCAAGAACTTGGATTACTCCAAACTAGAATGGATCATCAATTGGTCGAGTAAATCTCTTGCATGATAGTGTAATGGTGAAGCAATAGCGCACTTGAGTTTGGTCGATGCTGCTTTCCGGATTATGATAAATAAACTCAACTTCTAGTAACCTAGTGCATGTTTGAAATCGCGGTGATACCAAAGTTTTGTTGAAACTCTAAAGTTTAGCTTTTGGTATAATACCGTGATTCTGCTGAACTCACCGTCAATCCAAACATACTTTTTGTCCAATGTACACTCCAACGAAGTCATGTCTGATATAGAATTAAAATATAGATACCCTGCAGAGCAGAAACAAAATTCAAAATTCAGCAAACAGTGTAGATGGGTGATGATGCAGATCCTTATGCTAAAGCTCAATAACTAGTAAGAGTTGCAATGGTGAAAATGGAAAAAGAAAATGTACCTCAAAGTCTTGTTCAAGAACCGGTGGACCACCTGCTATCAGGTTTCCACTATTGGCCCACCAACCATTTATGTCCATGCTTCAAAGATGCCCAGTCTTGAGCATGAGGGGTGTGTTAAGAGTCCCACATCAGACAATATATGGCATGGTCATATGTTTATAAATGAGGGTAATTTTCACCTTACAAGCTGGTTTTGAAGCTGGTTTTGTAGGGATAAGTTAGACTCAAACATATTTCTTAACATGGTATCAACATTCAGGTTTTAAGATCCAGTAGACCATCTACTATCAAGTATCAGCTATCGGATCATCTATCATTTATTTTCACGCTCCAGATGTCTCCTCTTGGGTATGAGGGATTCTGTTAAGAGTCTCACATCAGACAATGTATGACTTGAACATGTGTTTATAAGTAAGAGAAATCCTCACCCTACAAATTGGTTGTGTAAGGTTGAGTTAGTCTTAACTACATTAGGTGTGTTAAGAATCTCAAATCGGACAATATATGGCCTGAACATGTGCTTATAAGTGAGGACAATCCTCAACTATAAGCCGGTTTTGTAGGGATGAATTAGACCCAACCACATTTCTTAACAAATTTCATTTAAACTTATGTTTGCAAAATGGAGTTCATTTAAACTTATGTTTGTAAACTTCAATCCAAAAAATAATGTGTTAGATATTTGATTTTTACCTCACTTGTACCATTTATCATGGTACTCCTACCATGGGCTGCTTTCCAGTCCCAATTCATTCTCCTAGTGTTCATAATATTGTTTCTTTAAGTGTGTAAACATTCATGGAAGTCATGCTTTTGTACTCATTGCATGGTTCAGTCCAGTTTGCATGTTTTATTCTCTGTGCAGTTATAATACAGAAGAAAACACAGGTAGATGAGAAAGCCAAGGGCTTTGACTTATTTAATAAGGGATCAATGGCATAGAAAGTGGTTGGAGATGGTGCTGCTGCCATTTGCAGTGGTGGCAAGTTTCTCATGACAGCGCCATAGTCATGAATGCATCACTGTAATACATCAATGTAGCACTTACAAGATAACAATTTTATATTGTTTTTGTTATCTGACTACTATAAACAAAAATAAAAATCTATATCCTCATGAAAATAGTAAACTACCAAATTGACAGGTAAAGGAAGATTTTCCATCAAAATAGTAATGTATTCAAGAAGAATCTATGTTTACCTGTTAAAGTTCACAAATCTCTCCAAGTTAGGATCACCGTGGAAATCGATCAATAGATGTGTGTCGTCTGCTATTACAATTGGGCACGCTAGCATCCAATCAACTTAGTATCTATTAATCAGACAAGTAGTAGAGAGGGTCAGTACTTACTAATATAAAAAACATTCATGGGAAAAAGAATCAATAGAAAGTATAAATGTTATAAAGGATGTGTTAGAAGAAAAACTCATGAAGGATGAATCAGTATTATTGCTGAAAATAGGTTAACTATATCAAGACTCAAGGCTCGGCCAAAATCATCGATAATACAGGAGATGGGTCCATGAATTAAAGCCGAAGGGTTTGTTTGAGAGTTTGGGCAGGGGAGGGAAGGGAGAGCTTTAGGGATAAAGGGAGAAAGAAAGTCAAATGAGAAGGGAGAGTAGTCTCACACCTTGCATGGAATATTAGTTGTCCTCGGACTAAAGTCCTACAATATGGGAAAACTCAAAAAAATACGTTGTGGAGAATTTTGGAGGGCTTTGAATAAATTTTCAAATCATTTCACTCTTTATAATACTCTCATAACATGTTCTTTCTACTCTCTTTCCAAAAACAATCTCCCAAATTATGTAGCACCGATGCTTGACAATGAAGGTCTGTCTGATGTTGAACACGTGTTAGCATCAGACGCCAACACAACACCGCCATAAGTGATTACATTAAATTATTTCATTTTCTCAATTTGTTACCAGAATCGATGTGTCCGGTGACTGTGTATGTTACAATTATTCCATATGCTCTTATTAATGTAACCGACACATGTGGTTACATTAAAATATTCCTGTTGGGGTGTCGCTGGATTATCACATGAAGGTTAGGAGGGAAAGCTCACATTGAAGAAGGGTGCAAAGAGTGAAGCACTGACATGACTGTTATATTAATGCCTACCTAGCGCCTGTATGAAGACAACAAAGGGGGCTACAGGAGCTCCCAATAAAATTGATAGAAGGGAAAGATAGCAAGACTTGTCGTCACTAAGACTGTTTACAGTTCGGTTAGGAAGGAAAACCAAACCAAACTAAACTAAAACATTACAACAGTTAAAATTAAATCTAACTGTTAATGGTTCATTCCGAACATAATTGGTATAATGCTTCGGTGCACCAATTATGTGTTTCCGGACCGAAATTACTTTTACAGAAAACTGAACTGTACCCTTTTTAACCGAATGGTTCATTGTGAACCGAACTGTATAAAATTGCTTTTGTTAACTGATATTAGGACTGTGAAAAACAAAAATACAAACTGAATAGTAGGACTATTAAAAGAATTGTTAAACCGCAGCAAAAAGAACCAAACAGTGACAGATATAGTTCACAAACTTAACAGAGTTAGTTTCTTTTCGGAGTGGTCAGGTTCAGTCTAACACTTCGGTACAGTTTTTTTAGAGTAGTCCTGCTTGTCCTGCACAGACAGATGCATAGTCCATACACTCATGCCAACACATGCTTACTAGACAATGCATTTTTCTATCAAGCAGAAAAAAACCAGAACATAAAAATCACACCAAAGAGCAAGTTTCTGAAATTGCAACATACCTAAGCTATCTTTGGCAGTAATCATCATTTCCTCCAATTTTTTAGCATCCTCAGTCATGCCTTGGGAGTTGTAAGCCTGGATCATGCACGCAAAGGTGGCTTTATTAGGCTTGCATTTTCTTTCTCTCATTGACAAGAATAACTCGCCCATCTTTTTTAAGTCGCCAGCTTGACCATAAGCACTAATTATGCAATTAAAGAAGGGAGTGTCCAAAACAACATCAGAATTTTCTACATGCCTCAAGATTGAGTCAACTTTGTCAATAAGCCCAGCTTTGCTATACGCACTGACAAGCGAGCAATACGTTACACAATTAGGTTTCATCCCTATATGCTTCATTTTCTTAAAGTGTTCATCCATCTTCTTAATTTCTCCGGCTTTTCCATAAACTTCAACGACAGTATTATATGTCACAATTGTCGGAGTGAAAAACCTCCTCTCCATGAAATCCATCACGGTCTTCATCTTATCGTAAATGCCTGCTTTGCCATATGACTTTATCATCATGTTGAATGTCTTTATGTCAGGCTTTATGCCCATTAGTTGAAATTCATCATACCACTTCTCCATCTCATCAATTTTCCCACCATTTCCATATGATCCTATCAAAGAATTCAGCGTGAAAACATCGGGTTGACAGTTTTCATTTTCAATCATATCTATCAATGAATTCTCCATCTTCTCAAACATGCCAGCCTTACCATATCCGTCGATTATTGAATTATACGTCACATTGTTGCATTCAATGCCCAAATATGACATATCCGCAAGAACTCGTTCAATTAAATCAAATCGACGAAATTTTGCACAGCAACTTATAAGAACAGAGAATGTATAAACATCTGGTGTGCAATCAGCAACTGATTTCATATCTTCAACAATAGAAAATGCGTGACGAAAGAGACCACTTTGACCGTAAACACTTACAAGAGCAGTGAAGACATCAACAGTAGGTTTAAGCCCTTCAAACAACATGGTCTCAAAGAGCTGACTAGCCTCTTTAGGCTGTTTGCACTTGCTAAGCATCATCAACAACTTTGTATAAGTTTGGCATCTCGGTTCATACCAATATTGATTTCGAAGAAGTTCGAAAATCTGTAAAAGCAAATTAATCATGTTACACAGACAAAAACTAAAAGTTAATAGGTTTAATCAATTCCAGATATGTTTCACGACCGAAATTTAAAATCCAATCATGTCTAACATCACCATTCACCAACTATAATATGTCCCAAAGTGTAACTAATTTTGCAAAATATGCTTATGTTTGCATATGCAAGGAGCAGAAGGTGGATGAGTGAATCAGGGGTCAGAGTAGAATTAGGAACTGCGCAGACTAAAAAAACCAACAGCATTTAAGTTAGAAGTCCATAATTTCTTTCAAATTCCAGATTTTCCTAACACATACATACTATATACCCATTATCCAAATTAAAACTTTCCAGGTTCACAGGCAACACGGAAAGTAGACGAGAAACAAAGAAGCATGCTGGACCACTGTCTGATTTCCAGAATAGAATATCAAACCTGAAATACATTTTCACTCTATCTAAAAAAACAAAGAGGTAATCAATAAAATCTATAATCCCAAGAGCCATCAATAAAAGCCAGCCTAATAACCCATTAATCATTGCACTGCACTCAATCCAATTGTTTAAAAGCCAGCTTCATAACCCATGAATCATTGCACTGCACTCAATCCAAAAGTTAACCATCAGAACATGAAAATACACATGACACCAAGTCCACCCACTGACCCATCCATATTATTTCATTTCACCTTCCAACAAAAACAACAACCAAGTTTTATCCTACTAAGTGAGGTCGGCTACATGGATCAACTTTCGCCAGAATGACCATGCTTCTATCCAAATCGTTAAACTCGAGATCTTTCTTAATAACTTGTCTTATAGTTTTTCTAAGTCTTCCTCTACCTCTAGTTGTTTGACTTATCTCCATCTAATCTACTCTCCTTACCATAGCATCTACGGGTCTTCTCTCTACATGTTCAAACCACCTAAAGTCTATTTGTCACCATCTTCTCTACTATAGGTGCTACTCCGACACTCTCTCTAATACTTTCATTTCTAATCCTATCCTCTCTAGTCATACCACACATCCAACGCAATATCCTCATCTCTGCTACACTTATTATTCTCGTGTTGATTCTTAACCGCCTAACATTCTACAAAAATGAAAAAACCGAATCCAATCATTTAAAAGCAGCTTCATAACCGATGAATCATTGCATTGCACTTAATCCAAAAATTAACCTCAAAACATGAAAATGAATGAGTAAACATGACACCAAGTCCACCCACTGACCCATCCACACCATTTCATCATCCACCTGAAAAAAAACCACTAAACCAAGCCAAAGAACACATTCAACAGAATATCCAGAGTAGATTATACAACTAAACAAATTCTCTAATTTATCTACAGAGCTAAGAGTCAATCAAGATCATAGCCACTAACTTTACAAAAAAGCTCAGTTAATTCAATCATTTCAAAGAAGTTTCGTACCTCCATGAATCATTGTATTGCACTCAATCAAAAACTTAAAGAGAAAAGGGAATATGCACTGTTAAAAACATGTAATCAATGAACAAATACACATGACACAAAGTTCACCCACCCACTCTTAAAAAATCAACTAAACCAAGCCAAAGTAAAGCATTAAACAAAACAAAGGGTCACATCAGAAAAACAAATTTGAAACTAGTACCAACCATGAGAGCATTATGCCACTGACACCTTTTAATGGCATCATCCAATGCTTCAAGAACAGCCTTAGGCAAGAGTTGTTTATGTTTCCATGACTTGGCTTTGTTTTCTACACCTTTGATAGCCGCTTCAGTTCGAAGAATGCGTGACAAATCCTTGTTAGGATCCTTCTGAAGCCCTTGAGATAAAGGCTTGGAAGACCGCTTCAATGACTGGATACGAAAAGAAGGAAGTGGCTTTGAAAATTTTTGATGGTTTTCGTTTAGGAATTTCGTCGAACAGGTTAGGGGTGCTGTGGAGGAAATGGATGAAGACCATGTTATACAAGGAGGAGGGTGAAGATGCTTCATGGCAGAGAATGTTTAGAACAATAGATTAGAAAAATGTTTTTAGAACTTAAAAAATAAAATAAAATAAAAAATAACTATTGTAATTTTTTTGGGTAATATTATGAACTTTTAAAGAATAAATTTATAGATTATTCTAAAATGAAGATCTTGGTACAAGTTGTTCCATTTGGGTATTGAATCCAAATCTATGTCAAAGAATTGTGATGTAATTATAAAAGATATATTGTCAAAGTGAAAGATTGGTGAAATATTTTATATTTAAATACTATTTATTATTATATTTCAACAATTATTATGTAATTATATATATTTATATTAATTATATTAATTATATTAATTATTTATTTAATTAAGAGTCTTAATTATTAAGTAGTCAAATAAAGTTTAAAAAATTAATTAAATTTTTATTTAATAATTAATTAATTCATAAGTTGGATATGGGATTTAAATATAATGGATGTCAAAATGACTTATTTCAGAATAATAAGAACTTTAATTGGTAATCACCATACATATAGGATATGGTCTCCAATATACTTACTATATTGCAAGCATTGCAAGCAGTTTATCTCTTCTTTGTTAGAATCAATTGATAATTATTTTATTCAACACATGCTCAATACAAAGATTAAAACTATAAGCATAATATTAAGACGGAAGTGCAACAAACATATGAGCATGCATATACACAACTTTATGATTTACGACATGTTAGTTTATGAGATATTATTAATGATTATAGGAATACCTGAACGGATTCAAAAGAAAAACATTTGAGACAATGATAACGGTCAGGGTCGTGCCAATTAATCCGGGGTGGCCCGATCTAATTTGAAAAATAGGCCTAAGAGAATATGAGTTTATACCAAAATTTTGAAAAAATCAATATAAGATTATTGGTTTTGAAAACAAAATATGATTTTACACCTATTTTTAACAAATAGATGTAAAATAGATTTTAAAAATATTATGATTTAACATCTATTAAAAAAATAGGTGTAAAATGTATAGTTGTAGTAACTAAAAAAATATGTGAGCCCCCCAAAATTTAAGACTCAGAGCTATAGCACATATTTACTCCTCCTAAAGGTCGGGCCTAATAACGGTAATTCTGAAATGCAAAAGTGCATAGATAAGTGAGTAACATTTGTTGGCTTATGGATTTTTCTCAAGTGATACTCCTAATGTCTTAACCCTTCACATTAGGTGAATGTTAAAATATTTTATATTTAATTATTATATTTTGATAATTATCATATGAGCATATATATTTATATTAATGATATTAGTTATTTATCAAATTAAGAGTCCTAATTGATTAAAGTCGGTTAAAAAAGCTAATCAAAATTTTATTTAGTAATTAATTAATTAAAATTTGTATAAGATGTATGCAAATTTTATGTGAATCAATATTTAAGGATAAAGATAAAAAAAAACTAAAAATTAAATTAAATAGTTTGATTCAATTATCAAATTTTTTAAATTTTAAATAAACAACCAAATCACTAAAATAAGATTTAAATTCTATGTCCATCACATTCAAATAATTGACATAAATATATATTTCTAAATATATTATTTATAGCCACAAACAAAGTGTTCAGAATCATAATTCTTAAAAAAATATATTTCAGATTTTATGATTCTTAAATATCAATCATAATTATATATGTGGTTCTAAATATATTAAGCAAAATATATATTGTCAAAGTGAAAAATTTTGCTAAATATATTTAGCTAAAGTAAAGGCATAGCGTATTGTAGACTCGTATCATCCATGTCAACAATATAGTTTGAATCAACATATCCTATGTTAGCAGGCCCACACGAATTAAAGTCCAACCAAAGTGGATGCAAGATTATGAGATGCAGTAGTTTGTTTTATTATTTTAATTCTGTATTTTTATCTTTTAGGCCTAGTTGTTAGTAACCCAATTAGAATTTTTTTGGTTGTATTTAAAACCTTGGTTACCCTTTTGAGAGGGGCAGAAATTATTAAGACAATTGTTATGTTTTTATCTTTCTTCTAGTTTTGTGTTGTCTTATGGAAAATCCTAGATCTAGAAATTATTGTTGAAAATTCCTCTTCTATCAATTGGTGCTTTCATTTCTTTGAACTCATGGCTCCTCCACCCAAACCCTCAAACCCTAGAGATATCATAGAAGAAACTGTCCAAACAGTCCATATTCATCTCGATAATGCAATGAACCAAACACAACAACAAATGGATGAGAGGTTTGACAAAACTTCTGCAGATTTGGAACTCATACAAACCCGTATGGACAATGAGAAGCAAATTTCAGATTCTCGGTATGACAGTATCATGGGATTGCTTAACAAACTGGTGCTTCAACAGGAACATTAATCTGCTACCACTGCACAAATGATGACGCGAAATTATATCATTTATTTGACTCGATTTACATGAATTTATTTGCGATTATTGTTAATTTATCTTGATTTATGTTTTATTATAAGGTCAATTCACTATGTTTTACAGATTGTGGAGAATTTGGATTAAAAAAAGAAAAGAAGAAGAAATGGAAGGAAAAGAGAGAGGAAAAGACAGAAAGCAGCAGAGAAACAGATTTTGTGCGTGTGACGCTCGTCACAGTTCCCTCACGATCGCCACAGTTTTCATGGTCGTCACAAGATCCTCACGATCGTCACGTGCAACACAGTCGTCACAAGAGTGCCACGACCGTCATGAATCCAATATCAGAATAACGTCAAACACAGAAGTGGCCACGAGCACGTTCAACTTAATTTCTCCCTGCACTTTCTCCACTAACTGCCCACTACTGGAAGTTACTCCCACTTTCTCCATAACTCACGCATGATCTCTAGAAGTTGAGAAATGAAATATCTCCTATAAATAGGCCAGAGACTCACAGAACCAGGGGGAGGCTTCGACGTATCGAAGTGCTGCCAAAATTTATATTGAAGCCATTTTTATTGTTTCTTTTATTTCCTTTCCTTTTTTTCCTTTAGTTCAGAACATTGTAATTTCTTTCTGCAATTTTATTTTGCCAAAGTAGAATCCTGCCGACATTGTGGAGGACTACTCTTCAATCTTAATACTACTTTCCAGGTTCTTATTAATTGAATTATTATTTTATTTTCTGTAATAATGCATGTTTTATTATTTTACGGTTTATGTTTATTTCCGTTTGCATTAATTATCATGTCTAGCTAAATTAGTTTTATCGGTATGTGATCGAATTAGTAGGATGGGATTCGATAATATCTGGTGCACCTTACCTTTTTACAAACAATCTTTCTGGCCGTAGTTTTTAATCAAAATCTTCTAAATAAACCTTCGTCGCGAAAGCGAGAAATTATTTACAGTAGTTTCGCCACGACAGTGGGAAATTCATTAAGGCACGAACCGGCACGCGAAAGCTGGGGTTCAAACCGAATAGTAAGAACTAGGCATTTATTTTAAATACAGCAAAAGCGCTTTAAAAGAAATCAGAACTTACTTATTTTCAAAGAGTAATTTTAACCCCGAATGGGACTGCGAGAGTGTACATTCCGCCTTAGAATTATGACCCGAGTCAACAACCATCGTGAGGCAAAGGTCTTTAAACGGGTATTTTCTCCAAAAACTAAAGCATTACATACCGATATCCCTTTACCGCTCTTCTTTAAACCAATAATCTTTATTTTCGTTGTATTTAATTACGTTCACATTTAACTTTCCAAATTCCGTTAGCCTTAGCTTTACACCGCGACAATAGATAACGGTAGGTTGACATTGGTCTCTGTGGGTTCGACAAATCTTTTATATTACTTCGATATTTCCGTGCACTTGCGAACGCATCAAGTTTTTGGCGCCGTTGCCGGGGACCAATAGTCAATATTGTGATTCTGTTTTTGCATAGTATAGACTAAGGCACTCTTATCTAAATTACTATGTATAACCCAAATTTTTCTTATAACTACCACCCCCAATATTTTGAGGAACCACAAGATCCGCTTAAATCCGACCTCGAAATATTATTAGAAGATTTCAATACGACACATTCTCCCCCAGAGTCCCTCTACCATGACCACTCCCAATATTTTGAGGAATCGCAAGATTTCGATACATCCAACCTCGAACTATTACTAGAAGAATTCGATGAGACGCTTACTCACTCTAGGATAGAATCTATGATGGAACGCTTTGTGGAGACACAAACTCTCCAAAATGAAGATTTTAGAAAACAACATCTCCAAATTAATGAAAATCTCAAGCAGATGAGCAATATGGTTGATTCCCTCGCAACTCACAGCGAGGCTTTGGAGATTCAAACCTCTCTGCTTACACTAACACCTCTAGGACCCTTCCCTGAGAGACATGTGGATGTTGTAACAACCAGTAATGAAGAACAAATAGAAAATCCTAGGGAGAGTGATAATGAGTCTGAGGAGAGTTTTGGTGAGGAAAGCATACATATTGAGAAAAATCCACCGACACCACCCGAAAGGGAGGTTTTCAAAGAGTTAGAGAAGGAAGCACATATTATTTCTCCTCCTCCCTATACCCCACCTAATTCTTTCTCACAATTGGTTGTGGAAGCTAAGGTAGACTCCCAATCCAAAACACATGTGGAGGTATTGGAAAATATCCACACCAATGCACCTGTCTAAGATCCTTCATAACAAAAGAAAATTCAAGGACCATGAAACTAGGGTCATCATTACTATTAAAAGGGTAAGATTAACGTTTGAGGTGGTGGATGAAATAACTAAGCCCAAATTTGAAAAACTGATACTCAGGATAGATCCAGAACCACCACCACAAGTTCAAATCAATGAACCACCCTATAGAAGAAAGAAAAGAAAAGGTGAGGGATATGAGAGATGGATTGATAAGTGGCCATGGAAACCAAAGACTATTCAAAGTTCGATCGATGAACCATTCTTGAAAGAACCACCATGAGTACTTGCACTCCTTAGTCGTCGAGCTATCGACGTTAAATAAAGTGTTGTGTGGGAGGCAACCCACAAGGTC